GAGGAGCAGTATCCACTTCTCCTCTCCCCCACCCCAATCACCAAAACAATTGATAGATTTACGATTTCCTCAATTTTAGTTTAGATTTGGGTTCAGAATAATATCTCGCTAACAATAGCCGAAGAGATCTCATAATCATATCGTGAATGGCCATTAACTGCTTATTTTCGCATTTGTTTTGCTTGTGTTTTTCTCTTGATTTCCATCATATCTTGACCCTGATTCTGGCCGCAAAATTTTTGCGGGGTCGTGCCCCCGAATCATCGTAGTTTTTGACAAGCTTGATTTATTTCCAACTTTTCTCTCCCCCTCTCCCCCTAATACAGTTTGCTTCCAACGCCTATGATTACCTACTATGTCAATGTCAGTACACGCCAAAGCTGAACGTTTAATATACGTGTTTATATATACGTTTTTTGATAAAAGACAAATTTGTTAGGAGACATCAGCAATAGTTACGAAAAGTTGAACAGATAAATTTGATAAATAAAGTTGTTAGTTAAACTATTGCTAAACCAAATAACCAAACTTTCTTAGTGTGTTCGACTGTTAACATTTTGATAACTTTCATAAAACGTAACATTTAATACGATATTTGTTTTACGTGTGATAAATACACAGTAAAGTCTGTAATAAATTTCACTGTAATACGACAAGTAATTTTTCGATATAACAATATTTACAACGAAACGGCATAAATTCCTGTAGTTGAACAGGAAACGAAACAAGTCTGTGATATGTCAGTAATGATGCACGGAGTTTGCTTCCACTCGTATTTACATGGACTTCGCTAAGGTATCGTTATATACAATGAAACAAGTCAATTCTCATTGCACATTTTAATAGCGTCAATTAATGTAAGTCAGAGCTCATTTTACTTGTCAGCATTACAACCCAACGTATCTAATTTTGTTCCTATACTAACGATATCAAGTCAGTATTCAGTTTGCATGTTGCTAATGCAACCAATATCAGTCGAAGTTCATTATCTATATTGCTAGTAGCGTCAAAAATATGATGATATCCAGTGCGTATGTTGCTGATACTGTCCTATATCTAAAGTCTATGTTGCTAGTACCATCACAAATAAGTCAATATCTAGTATTTATGTTGCTAGTACCATCCAAAATAAGTTGATATCTAGTATTTATGTTGCTAGTACCATCAAAAATAAGTTGATATCTAGTATTTATATTGCTAGTACCATCAAAAATAAATCGATATCTAGTATTTACGTAGCTAGTACCATCACAAATAAGTTGATATCTGGTATATATGTTGCTAGAACCATTAAAAATAAGTCGATATCTAGTACTTACGTAGCTAGTACCATCAAAAATAAGTCGATATCTAGTATTTATGTTGCTAGTACCATTAAAAATAAGTCGACATCTAGTATTTATGTTGCTAGTACCATTAAAAATAAGTCGACATCTAGTATTTATGTTGCTAGTACCATCAAAAATAAGTCGATATCTAGTACTTACGTAGCTAGTACCATCAAAAATAAGTCGATATCTAGTATTTATGTTGCTAGTACCATAAAAATTAAATCGATATCTAGTACTTACGTAGCTAGTACCATCAAAAATAAGTTGATATCTGGTATATATGTTGCTAGTACCATCACAAATAAGTTGATATCTAGTACTTATGTTGCTAGTACCATCAAAAATAAGTCGATATCTAGTACTTAAGTAGCTAGTACCATTAAAAATAAGTCGACATCTAGTATTTATGTTGCTAGTACCATTAAAAATAAGTCGACATCTAGTATTTATGTTGCTAGTACCATCAAAAATAAATCGATATCTAGTATTTACGTAGCTAGTACCATCACAAATAAGTTGATATCTGGTATATATGTTGCTAGTACCATTAAAAATAAGTCGATATCTAGTACTTACGTAGCTAGTACCATCAAAAATAAGTCGATATCTAGTATTTACGTAGCTAGTACCATCAAAAATAAGTTGATATCTAGTATATATGTTGCTAGTACCATCACAAATAAGTTGATATCTGGTATATATGTTGCTAGTACCATCAAAAATAAGTCGATATCTAGTATTTACGTAGCTAGTACCATCAAAAATAAGTTGATATCTAGTATATATGTTGCTAGTACCATCACAAATAAGTTGATATCTGGTATATATGTTGCTAGTACCATCAAAATAAGTCGATATCTAGTACTTACGTAGCTAGTACCATCAAAAATAAGTTGATATCTAGTTATATGTTGCTAGTACCATCACAAATAAGTTGATATTTAGTATATATGTTGCTAGTACCATCAAAAATAAGTCGATATCTAGTACTTACGTAGCTAGTACCATCAAAAATAAGTTGGTATCTAGTATTTATATTGCTAGTACCATCAAAAATAAGTCAATATCTAGTATATATGTTGCTAGTACCATCACAAATAAGTTGATATCTAGTACTTATGTTGCTAGTACCATTGTTTTCAGTCGACGTAAATGTAACGTTTAATATTGTGAAAGCTGTTTTCAATCGACGTAAGTGTAACATTTAATATTGTGAAAATTGTTTTCAGTCGACGTAAGTGTAACATTTAATATTGTGAAAGTTGTTTTCAATCGACGTAAGTGTAACATTTAATATTGTGAAAGTTGTTTTCAGTCGACGGAAGTGTAACATTTAATATTGTGAAAGCTGTTTTCGATCGACGTAAGTGTAACAGTTAATATTGTGAAAGTTGTTTTCAATCGACGTAAGTGTAACAGTTAATATTGTGAAAGTTGTTTTCAATCGACGTAAGTGTAACAGTTAATATT